AGCAAAAGACAATAGTTTTTTGATAAAACTACAAGAAGAAAAGATGAAGATATTAGAAAAATATAGAAACAAGAAAAAAGAAAAAGACAAGGAAGATAAGGACCAGAAAGCTGTGAATAGAAGATTTTTGAACATGACGAATATCAAAAATCAAGGAATAACATCTCTAACCCCGTGAAAAGAATCACACAATATTTGCAGAAAAACAATCATCTTCGACAATATGATTGCTAAAACGAGAAATTTATAGACAATTAAAACAAATAAGAGCTAATTCTAGATAAATTAGCATATATAGTTCGAAGACCTCACTTTTTAAGAGGACAGACAGACAAAGAATTTTTAATTAATAGAACATTGTAGAAAATTTATTTTTAGATCCAGACACATGGTTGAACAAAAACTTGTTTGACAAATTGAGTAAACAAAGATATTACCATATGGGATACACAAGCAAACAATCTGTAAATCTATTAATTTAATTCGTATTACTATAGATATTATAAATAAAAATCCTTTATCTCCAAAATACCTGTTCTCTAATGTGAGTTGTTCTAAAAACAGAAATTTCTAACTTGATTTCTTAAAAATAGAAACCCTTGCTCTACAACAATTACAGCCCTAGACTATGACTACTTTAAGTAATTTTCTTGTATTTTGGAACCAGGACCCCCTTGCAACAAATAATAGTCTGACTATTACCAGAAATTCTATTGTTGTACATAATGAAACAGACATTATTACATTATTATAATTCTTACGAGAAACAAAACCAGAGTTACCTACCCAATATTTGAATAATGTTGATGTATTGGATAATTATTTTCCAAATATAAACTTTGATGACATTATTTTTTCTATCGAATCTATAGAAGAATCAGCTGACTACTCTACTTAACAAGATACAGAAACTTCACAAACCCAAGACGTAGAAAATGGAATCCTCACCCAACTTACTGAAGATTTTACAAAAGAGAAAAATGAAATTTTTCTATGACAAGACTCTTTAACAAAAATAACTTTTAAAGGAAAACTTTGAGAAATTATTAAACGCTTAAAAAAAGAGAGCTGTGGAAAGTCATATGATCAACAAATTCGAATTTTAGAAACTTCTTATTATTTAGAATAGCTAAAAAGAAAAGCTGATGATAATAACCGAAAAACCTAGAAGATTAGAAAAAACCTTAGTAAAGCCCTAGGATCATGATATGCTGCAAGAGTATGAAAATGTACTAACCAAATTTACCAACTCCTTCAAGTCTGTGAACTACCTTATCTCTATTTCACTACTACAATTACCTATACTAACTTGGAAGGATTAAAGGAAGAAGACTTTATGACACTGTTAAGTGAAGTTAGAATTCACAGAATTCACTCTTAAAGAAGATGGAAATGTTATAGAATGAGTTGTCTAAATTTTTTATTATTAGTATTATTTAGTATAATTATTATTATATTATATTATATATTATATTCTGTTGTTGTATTATTATATTATCATATAATATTATTAAGTAGTTTCGCATAATGTAATAAATAGAAAGAATGATTACCATTTCTACTATTTCTACTATTTCTACTATTTTTATCATTTTTACTATTTCTACCATTTCTACCATTTCCACCATTTCTATCATTTCTACTATTTCTACTGTTTTTACTATTTCTTATTATTTGTATTAGTTTTATTAGTTTAGAAAAAAGATATATAAACCCTAGTCTTTCTCTTTCTTGCCAAATAAAACTCAGACATCCTCTCTAGATACAGACACCCTTTAGTTATAAGAATATTATCTCTTGTAATTAAAGTCTTATATTATAAATAAAATATATCTTTCTTTAAACTATATACTTTCTATGAACTGCCCTTAGTGAAGTTACATTCTACTTTCATACCACTATAATCTTGCAACGGAGCTCTATAGTTATGTGCTTTGTTACTTGTACTGTATTAAGAAGACTATAGTTCACTTGTAACAATAGGCTACTAGTAATCTTTAGATAAAAATTACTTAAACTGCAATATTTAATTTTACAAAAGCTCAACCCAAAGAAAGGTATATATAACAAATTAAAATTATAGTTTCTTTATTTTGTTTTAAACTTATATTTAGTTAGTAAATTTCCTGCTTATATATAATTTAGTTATATTAACTATCTATTTTGGTAATAATGTCTAATTTTAGTAGATTTATTAATTTTAATTATTTAATAACTTATACTAAAATGATAATAATAGATTAGCTTGGTGGCTTAATTATATAAATATTGCTCAAGATATATAAACATAACTATGAGAGTATAAACACAGCTATTTAAACTTGTTACCAATACCTACTTGTATAATTACAAGAAAATGACTAAAGAATAGATGTGTAAATATTTCTATAAGAGTGTAAGCAACTCAGTAGTGATATAAATATATCTATAGTTATATAAATATAATCTTTAGAGTATAAACACACCCAAAATCTAAAATATATTTAAAAACTAACCATATCAAGCAATAAATTATAACTTTTTTTATCTCATTATTAAATAAATAAATTACTACTTTTGTTTAAACTTATCTGAATATTTCTTGTATGAATTTGATTTGTAACTTTAATAAACCCTTTTAAGACTTAATTTAACAGACTGAATTGACTTGTAACTTCAATTTGTTTATTAAAACTTAGATTTTAGAATATTTGTAGAATTAAATATTGCTATTCATCTTAGTGACTTGTAAAAATTGTAATAGAAAATAAGACTTATGATCAATTATTATACTCTGTTGATCTATTACATGAACTTTCAAAATCTTTTGATTATTAGCCATTTTTATTTTATTACCCTTATTGAGATATTTTAATAGCATTACTTGTAATTGTATTATCTCTATTAATATTAAAGCCTTTATTTCATAATATCATATTGTTTCAATAGACCTTTAACAAATATAAAAGATCTTTGTTTCTTCAAGTTTATTTTTATTTCTCTATACACCTTTGAAGTTAAATTGGCCTTTATCTATATAATTTTTTTAAGCTCTCTTATTAACAGTTATAATAGCAAGAAAATTTCTGGTAACAAGATGCCAAAATGTTTTAACTATCTGTTTTTTTTTAGTCAAAACTATAGCTAATAATATAAATATTATTAATACACTTCACTCTGGTTATACCGATACTCTTTAGGAATAAAAAATTGTTGATATATCCAGATGTCAGATTAACAAGTGTCTCTTTTTATACTGACACCATATTGATAATATGTATATATGTCGGTTTAGCAAGCGCTTTAGTTTTTTTATTGGCGATGATTTATATATACGAAGTACGTAGAGTATGGTTTATGGGCAAGTTAATGTTCTGTGCAATTTGCAGTATCTGATTGGTATGTGTGACTCTATTCACCTCATATCATTATGCATTATATATATTGCCTCTGTGTTTGTACATATGAGCATGGATTATCTGATACCCTGTCTATGATCAACACAATATAATCTCTCATGTGGAGTATAACCAACAAAAATAAAAGCCTGAACCATATGAATTAACAGATATAATAATAAATGATGGTAAAAGCTTGATTTTTGGACATAAATACTGGTGGCCCGATACAGATTTTCGCATATGTTCGGTAGATATTTAAGATTTTCTGTTTTATTTTCACCGAATTTTTTATTAGGTGATGTAATGATAATCAATGATCGTCAAAGATTTGAGCGAAAATTTTTTATTGGCATGTTTGTCGATGAAGAGTTGTGCAGTTTAGCGCTAGCCGAATGTGATTTAATCCCAGTCAAAAAGTCATCCATCCAATATCAAGATAATAAGGAGTATTTGGCTTCCTATGATTTTTATCATATCCCTTATTGGGTTAGAATTACTTTATGTAAAAAATTATTATGAATCATACTTATCTCCTGTAATCTTGATTATGTGTATTGAATCCTGTTTGTTCTTGCGGCTATTTTCACAAGGCCTTTAATCTATGCTATTGATTATTGTGAACTTCGCCAATTATGCTCTGGTAAATATTCGAAAATATCGTAATTGCAATAAGTTACAATTCGACAAGTCTGGTATTATGTATGTACTGTACCTTAGGTCTGACACAAATTAATTCCAAAGCTCAATTTTAAATTTCATATACAATATATTTTTCTGTTCCTGGTCTTGCGCGCAGCTACTTATTTTAACTATAAAAAAAAAACCTGCAAATCTTATCTAATAAGATTGGCAGGTTTTTGCAACAATCATATCAACTTGTAGCTGATTTTGCTGCTAACCAATTTGGTCAAAACTAGTTGCAAATTTAAGTATATATTTAATAAAAACCGATTAAAAAATAAACCGGTTTTAATCAAGGAGTTTGTTCTCGAGAGTTGCACCAATTGAAATTTATTATTAATAGAGTAACCAAAATGGTTACCTATTTTTTTTTTGGTAAGGTGGAGTGAGACTGTACTAGAAACTCATAGCAATAATAATTATTAAAAAATTTATGTTTATTGCCGTAATGATCATATATTTGAATACCATAAGTTATTGTAAAAAATTGTTTAAAGGAAATAGCTAGAAGTCTTTATAAATTAAAATTTTAGATGTTAGTACTAAATTTTTAATTAGATAATTGTTTTTTGGAGCCATAATTATAGTTGATTGAAGGATAAAAAAAGATAGTTCAAGTATGAATCGTTATAATTGTGTCAAGTTTGAGTATTACCTCAATTATAGCTGATTAAGGGTAGTGCTTAAAGGTGCTTGAGAGTAGCCTTTATTAATAACGATAAAAATGTAACTTGAATAAAAAATTAATAACGATAATATTAGATATATTTATTTAAAATGGTTTAAGTTATATAAATAAAATCATCTTTGTTCTGTGCTGAATTTAAAACAAATTAGATTTGTAAAATAATATAATCATTTAATAAATTAACATTTAAATATTATTATACCTACTGCTTCTAAATTGTTTATATTCACTATTTCTGATTTATTTATTCTTTAATAAAAAAATGAATCCAATTTTGTTTGCTTTGAATTTTTTTTTGTTAAATAAGCAAGCTCTTTTCGCATCCGTTTAAGTTCAGCAAAAACTTTAATATCAATTTGAAAATTCAATTCAAGCTGTTCAATATAACCCAATACTGAATCTATTCCGGTAACAGCTTGAGTTAGTATAACAGGTTTTTGCTTTTTTAGTTCTTCTTCTTCAGGTTCACTTTTTTGTATTTCTTCTATAAGCTCGTTAATTGTAGGCATTTCACCTGTTGTATATTTATTATCAATTTCGATAAACTCATATATAGAAATATTTAAATGCTCAGGGTTTTCAGGATTTTTTAAATCCTGAAATTGTGTAATGAGATTTTTTAATTCTGTTTCCTCATTGTCATTATTTATTTTAGCTGAAACTTCTGTATTCAGACATTCATCAATTTCTGCAAAAAGAAGAATACTAGTTTTTTGCTATGAATGAATAATTGTATCTTCAGAAACCTTATTCCATGCCTGTGCAACAAACTGAATTGTATCATAAATTGTAACAGGATTTGGGGGTTCATTGGTTAGATTTGCTTCATCAAATGCAGCAATTCAGTTTTGTAATAATAGTTTGCGATAGTGACACTAAATTGTATAAATGTTATTGTTGTTAACAATTATTTAAAATTTAAAAAAAATTTTAATACTAATCTTAAATGAGTAGATAATTCCAGCATCGCATGGTTGTAACCATGCCGTAGTATTTTTTGGAAAAAAAACTATATTAATATTAGACAAATTTGAACCTTCAATAGAATATGCTGAACAATTATCTACAAGTAAAAGAATTTTTCGATGAGCAAGACGCATTTGACTATCTAATTGCGATAACTAGTTTTGAAAAATCGAAATCTGCATCCAGGCCTTTTTGTTTCAATAATATTTGACAGGTAAAGTTGATTTTTTTATTCCTCTTATTGCATGCAGATTTTCAAATTTATGAATAAAGACCAGAGGCAATTTATGACCAACTGCATTGCATGTTAATATTATTGTAACCTGATTTTTTGGCTTTTAACACCCGCAATACGACCATGAGTAAGTGATTTTAAAGGTTCTAAGAGCCAATAAAGTGCTGTCTCATCGCAATTATAAACATCTACAAGATCATAATTTGCTATATTATTTTGTAAAGATAAACAAAACTCTGGCAATTTTTCAACTGGGGCACTAGCAGCCTCACCACTTTGTGTAGTACAAACAATATGGTATTGTTTTTTAAAGCCTTGCAACCAACTATCAGAAACAGCAAAATTTTGAATATCTAAAGTATTTGCAATTTGTTTTGCTTTTTCTTGCAAGATTAAACCTGTAATTGTAATATGATTTTCTAATGCAAGATTGAACCAACGTACAAGAATTTTTTCTAATTGTGAATGATCGGGTAATCTGTTTCGTTTTTGTTGTGCAGCAGTACTTTCATCATGACTTTGCAAGAATATCTGCTACTGTTGACCAGCCAATTTCAAATTTACCTGCTAATTCTTACTGTGTAAAATTTGGATTATTTTGTACTAATTGGCATAATTCTTTTTTTGCTTGCCGCTTAATATTTTTCGAGGTTTTTTTGATATTGTTTTTTTAGCTTTACCCTTGCGTTTAGCAGAAATAATTTCACTATCAGACATATTGTTACTAGAAAAAGCAATTTTAAAAATTTATTTATATATATATATATATATTTTTTTTATGTAATTAATTTATTTTATTAAAAAAACTTTTTTTTATTCTTTATTATTTATGCTTTATATCCTATTTGAGTTAAAGAGTGGTGATATAATAAGCATAAATTACTTTATGAATTTAGCAAAATGGTTGTAAGAAATTGTCAATGCTAGCTTATCTATATAAATATATAATATAAATTAATAATCTAATTCTTACAAAGATCGAAAAAATGCAAGCCACAATTCTAGTTAATTTGACCAAATCAGACATACAATTAATATCGTATGAACAAGCATGTGTTTAATTTTTGTGCAAGTTAGAATTCTAGTTAAAAACCAAATTAGGTATTTAATTAATATTACATAAACAGGCACATATATTCAAAATAAGTATGATTAGATAATATTTCCATTGATAGATCAAATAAAAAAATAGCTATTATGACAAGTATAATAACATTTTTCTTACAAGAAGAGAAATTTACTATTTTGCATTTAACTATATAACAAATATAGCAAAGATGTATGGTATCAATATTAAAATCTTCTTATATTGTATATCGATATGATAACACCAGATATTAAGTGCTTGGCTGTAATTTATTTCTGGTATAGTACAAGATTGTCACTATAATCAGCGAAAAAAAATTAAGTTAAATAAATTTTTAATACTAAAATTGTCAGTATGTCAGTATAGTTAATATTTCTTATTATTGTCGATATAACCAGCAAAATTTTAAAATAGTAATTTTTTTTAAAAAAAGTGTCGATATAGCAAATTGTTGATTAAACCAGCTGTTGGTATAACCAGAGTGATGTGTATAATATTATAATAAAAACATATATAATTATTTATAAACTTTAAAGCAGTTGTGTTTTTTCCCTTATATATTAACTTTAAATTAAATTTTATGAATAAATACATCATAAAAAGAAGAATAAAATACTTTCAAAGCTAAATTAAAATTTTGCAATTTTTGTACAATTTAAAAATATAACTCTGCCAAAAGAAAAAATTTATCAGTTTTAAAGCAATAATTATATATAAAATTATATCCTGAACAACTCCAGTTAAAGAGTTAAAAAAGTTAACTTAGTATGAAAAAAGTTTTCTATATATTAATATTAAAATTTTTTTTTCTGCTTAAATAACCTATTCTGACTTCTTAAGAAAATTTGTTTAATACACAATTCTATATATTTTATATTTTGCTGATTTTGTTTTTTTGAATATTTACTAAGTAAAAGATTGGATCAAAGGTTATATAAAATTTTTTTTAAAAAAATTTTTTAAAAAAATTTTTTGTATAATCTTTGATCCAATTTTTTACTAAGTAAAATATTCAAAAAAACAAAATCGGCAAAATATAAAATATGTAGAATTATGTGCTAAACAAATTTGCTTAAGAGGTCAGAATAGATTATTTAATAGGCAAATCGCAAGTTACCTAAACAAATATTTTTTTTTTATATGTAAATTTTACTATAAGCCTGAATGTGCAGCGTATCTATCTAAAACTTTTTTTTTACTAAGTAAATCACTCTTGGGCTTGTAACAAAAGTTATAAAGCTTATCAAGAAGCATCTAATGGTAGTAAAAACGTTAAAATCGGCCTGGTGGTTCTTGAAAAATCTTTAAAAAACTTCTTTTTCATATATAAAATTTCTTTAAAAAAATTGATTTTTTTTAAAGAAATTTTATATGT